TCTCCATTCTGAGAACAGACAATTTGTTCCTACCCTTTGCTTTGCAAATAGCCATGAACGCTATATAATCACAAAGCATTTTGAAATGTCTGACTTTGGGAAATACATTTCCTAAATGCTATGGTAGCTAACAGCTCAGGGCACGGGTCGGCAATCTTTCTGAAGTGACATGCCAACATTTAATCCTCCTGCCCTGGGCCCTACCGTTCTGGAAGAGGAGGAGGGCTCTCTCCACTGTGTGCCCTGCTTGGTCTTCTGCCCTGGGCTCTGCTGTGCGGAGGAGAGGAGCAGTGCACACGCACTTCCCCAGAAGCTGGATCCGGTGTGGAGCCTCAGGGCTTCTCTTTCCCCCTCTCCTACCTGCAGCTGGTTCCAGTTTTGCTGGGGCCATGATACTGGAATGTCAGCACAGGATGGGGTCAGGGTGGCTTGGAGGAGAGGGGGTCAGAGAAATGTACAAGGTGGGGGCAGGTGGGTGACACTGGGGTATCCCCCTTTGCTGGGGGCAGGGTTCTGGGGTCCAGTCCATGGTTCCCTCGTCTTCCTGCCAGAGACCCAAGTGCTCAGAGGCCAATGCACCCCCTCCCCCCCCCCGCACCAACACCCAGCCCTGGAGCCGCAGCCCAGGCAGCACTCACCCTCTAGTGCAGTGGTTCTCAAACTTTTTGACCCATGGACCACTGGCTCAATGTAAACCTTTCCACAGACCACAGACGCTAATGGAAACTCACCGTTAATTACATTATGCCCAAGCTATTTTGTTAGTGCTGCAGCTAGGGAGAGCGGTTTAATGTTAGTTTATCAAACTTCATTTTAAATAAAGTAAAATATTAATTTATGTCCAACACAAAAGTTTCCCATGTTTTCTTTATTTATGGAAGGGGTCAGGAAGCTTTTTTGGGGTCAGGGGTACTGACCCACAGAAAAATCAGTTGGGGACCACACAAGTGAGAAACAAAAAACTCCTCCAAAAACTCCCAACCCTCTCTGATGAGCCTCTGGTTTAGCTTCATCCTTGGGCAGCCCCTCAGCAGCAGCTGTTGCTGGCAGTGGCAGCCTCTGTAATAAGCAACCTGGAGATGGTGGAGGTGGCTGGACCAGGGGCCCCGCATGCCAGAGGCAGTCCCGTGGGGGAGGAAAGGGGCCACATGGCATATGGTGGTGGGGCTGGGGATGGTGGAGACTCACCACCGGCGGCACGCACTGCACTGGAACTTGGGGAATGCTGCAGTGTGAGCCGTAGTTGGCTCAGGAGCGCCTCCAGGTGCCCAGCTGCTGTGCACGCAGCCTAACCTGCTGCCAGGGAAGGGGGAGGGCGCTGGCTGTTCGTACACCACAAGAGCCCAGGAGAGGATGCATTGAGCTGCATGGAGAGGAAATTGGGGGGGAGCTCCCATCGCAGGCTGCGTGCGCCACTCAAAATTGGCTCACGTTGCCAACCCTTGGCACAGGGTGTTGCTCAAATATGAAGCAAAATGTTTTATTGCCTTGTCTCTCTCTGTACCTGCTGTTTCAGTAAATAGCTACATTACAGTGTGTTAGATTTTTAATCCCTATGGTGTTGCCAATTGCAGTGAGGATGGGATAGAGAGAGTGAGGAGCATTGGTCATTCAGGCTGGGGGGGGAGGGAGAAAAGACAAAGAGGGAATGCTAAGTTGTACAGAAAAATGGATTGTAGGGGTGCTAGTTTGGCTGATGCCTGTGGGACTCGATATTTCAGAGAAATAAAATCTGTGCAGATTAAATGATCTGTAGTGGGCACCATTATGAGCATGCAGCAGGATAGACCCGGGGAAATAAGAGCCAAGAAGGGTCAGAGAGGCTCCAAGCTCATATCTGCTCAAGACAGTAGTCCTAGTGTCCCCAGAACAAAAGCTGTTTCTACCCCTCTGTGCAGTTGTACTTGCAAAAACTTTACTCAAATCATATACAATTCTTTTAAAAAAATCATACTTATATTATTTCTTGTAGTATTGCAGCAGAGTAAGTACATTTAAGAAAGTTCACAAATATTTAGCTTGTAATTTCTCATATGAGACGTGTGAAAAAATAATTGAAGGAATTCATAACGCTGCATCATTATTATACTTTGAATCTGAACTAATCAAGCAACAAGGAAAAAATTTTGCAATGATCTTTTTCATTCCTATAATTGGGAGGCGTAGGAGGAAGGAGTTATACTTCTGCCTTCCTTTTTTTATAAGCATTTTCTGGCATTGTTTCCCACCACCTTTCAAAACATGCTTCTCTTTAACTTTGAGTAACAGGGCAAGCTTTTAATTGGCTTACTGTCTGGTGAGCAGCCTAAATACTCAAACTGGGCCAATTATCAGTGCCTTACAGGTTACAATTGATCCTTCCTTCCAAGAGAGGTTTTGTCTAGTGTGATCAAATGAAAAGTGCATTATCTGTCACCTGATCTCGCTTGTCCTGTGCTACCATACCAGAGTAATCAGGAAAATAATTTTATTCGGTCAAAGTTAAAATTCAATTAAAATAAACAATGTATGGAGCATAGAACTGTAACTTTCATTATCTCTCTTAGCTGGCCCTGCATGGAGCACATTCATTAACTAAAACTTGCTGATTAATTTTGTTACAGATAGAATCAGTGAAATGACAGATTCCTCGTATCCCTCGCATTTAATATAAGGAACTTTAGGATCCCAACTTACAAGGTTTTAAAGGCAGAAAAAGCCTATTGTCTGAAAACAAGTGAACTGGCTCCCTGGCCAGTGTGCATGTTCCTCTCATAACTTATCATGGGATACTAGCGCATTCCAGAAAGAAGGAAAAGCTTTAAGAAACTGTGCATCATGGAATTAGGTGCACTGCTGAGAGGTCAGTAAATTGAGTTGCTCCCTATTCCTCTTCCCAGAGACTCACATCCTTATTAGACCCACAGGGTCCCCCTGATTTTAAGACCACTGGGTACTGTTCTTCCAGTAGAGATGTTAGGACAACTGGAGCTTTTCGATGTTTCTCCTTAACTGGATGCAGAGATTGTAATTGGAGAACAGAGGAACTTTCTCTCCAAAGCCTCTTAGCTGCTGCTTTCCATTTAGCACAATTGAATACAAAAAGCCTTGGAGTCCAGGCCACTGCACATGTGTGAAAATGAAATTTGGCATGTGTAGAGGGCACAGATTCATTTAGCAACACATGACAAAGGTAATTTACTCCAGCAGAAGATCCTTGAGGTTATAGCTCTTTGATAGGTAAAGAGTGTAACATAGGATCTCTCCTGAGGGCTACAAATGTCTTAGATAAATTACAAAAGCAATCTAATTAATATGACCTGATGAAGAGCTCTCCATCAGCTTGAAACGTGTCTCTCTGTCACCAGCAGAAGATGATCCAACAGACCTCATGCACCTTGTCCACCAGACTAATTAATTTCTTTATTTCTCTGTCAGAGCTCCATATTTATTACTATATGAATTTAATGTGCTGTGCTGAACAGAAGAGGCAGTATATAATAGAATCTTCTCTTACATAATGTCTTTTAATGCAGAGCATCACCTGATGCCTTCCAGAGAGAGTCCAGTCATTCTTTGGAGAGCTGACGGAGCTATCAGTCTCCCCATTTTATTCTCCCTCAAAGACCTCAAGTTACCGCAACTTTCACGCCATCAGGGGGAACTGGCAGTGGCTTGCTCCAGAACAGAAAGCCACACCTTGTCCAAAGGGGCAGCAAGGGAGAATATCCTATCTCCCCATTCCAGGGCTGAGAGAAAACAGAGGACTCAGAAGGCCGTGGCAAAAGCAAAAGAGAGGAAAGACATTAAGATGAAGGTTTTTTCAAAGCTGCCCAAGGGATATCAATACCAATTAGGAATTGGCTGTCCAAATCCCTTAAGTGGCTTTGAAAAATCTAAACCTAAAAACCTCTGTGGAGCTACTGGTGGAAGGAGATGAGAAATGCAGCTGAAACAAAGAAAGATTTAGCAAAAAAGGAAAAGGTTGTTAAGTGAAAGAGAGAAATGTTCTAGGCTGAATTATGTGCATACAAGAGTTATGCGAGGATAGACATGAAATGATATTTCCCAGCAGGATAGCCAGTTTCAGTAAAAAATTTACTTTGCCATTTAATGACACTGGAAATCAGACTGTCAAAGCTGTTAGAATGTAATGTACATTCCATAATGTTGATTTATTTTAATTTAACAGCTTGTTCAGCCACCTTTACAAAAATAGGATTTTTCTTAAGCAACTTGGAAGTCTGTAGTTTCCATTGCATTCTATACCCGTCCTTTCTCTGTGCCTGGAGAAGGGGTCCTACTAGCACCATTTTTTTCCTGTTGTGGTATGGGGTAATGCCATTGGGAAAACGCTGAAAACTTTCTAAACTACTACAAAGAAGACAAAAATGAAAAGTCATACTTCGGCTTACTAAGGACTCAATACTGAAAGACTTTTGACTGAGAGGGGCTGCTGCACATAATAAATATAAAACAAAATAGTATTAAACTGACAACTATAAGTTATGGCATTCCATTCAGTTGAACTGTCTATCTTTAAAGGGAATAGCTGTGAGTTGCAGCAATACATCTGTCATTTATCACAAAGTCCTTTGCCTATAAATCAGATCTTTGTTGTTAAGCAACAGGAGCAGATGAAAGCTTACACATAGAGTCAGTGACCTCAACTCGCTCAAATATAATAAGCTGCTCCATTTCTAATTTCAACAGATGCATGTGCTTTTACTGTGTCCATATTTGGCCCATAATGCTCCATATTTGGCATGAAAACTGGTTGCTATGGAGATGTTTATGATGAAACGAAATGAGATCTGTGACTTGACAGACATAAACTGCTGGAATAGGTAGCACATAATTAGTTAAGAAACAAAACTGTGTTCTGATTCAAATTCCCTGAATAGAAAACATGAGGAAAACTACTGCAAAACAAAATGCTGTCCAGGATATGTTAGCTGGTCTATTGTTATCAAACATAAACGTACTTCATTCTCATATACACTCCTATTAGGGCATGTTACCTGAAATCTCATTCTCTTCAAGGTTGATGGTTTCAAGAGCCTTCAAGGCAGTCAACTGCTCGGGGAAGTGTCGGAATTTGTTCCTGGACAGGTTGATGACCTTCAGATGTAACAGGGTTCTCATCTCTTCTGGCAGACGATGCAGATAATTCCCTTCCAGGTTGAGTTCTGCAGTTTGGGTGTGAACAGGGCCGGGGAAAAACAAAGTAACATCATGAAAACTTAAAGAAAACCGACCACAACCCCAAAACCCACCATTGCTTCTGCTTCTGCAAAGTCTTAATGACAAGGAAGAAGAAAGACGTGATTTTTTTATGACAAACAATCAAATTTATTCTGTATTACCCTGTTACATATGTGGCCTTATCAATGGTAATTCTACATTCTTTGGGCTAAATTGTGGCTTTTAGCTAACCACAGCTTTACATTATGAGAAGTACAGGGCTGCACTACCCCAAGGTAAGCAACAAGGGAGGATTATGGCTCAAATAGACAGATTGTATCACTGAGCTCCCTTAAAGTCACCACTATATTTCTCTCACGTTCTTTTGGAAGAACAGGTTCTAGAGAGGAGCAGCTCTTCTGCTTGGGGGATGACGGGGCTATACAAAGGAGATTTCTCTTACTCCTGACTTGACCACTTTGTGTCCATGTAGGTGTTGGCCACAGTCTACCCTGTCAGCAATTGCAACCAGACTTCTCATTAAGGGGCCAGTTCTGTCATCCTCTCACCACAATGGCCAATATCTTCTTTCAGGGACAGTGCCACAGATATCAATGGGGTTACTCATGGAGTAAGACATTATTTACTGTGAATAAAGGGAACCGAATCAATCCCTAACAGATTGCTTAACTAAAAATCCTTCTTCTATAACTTCAGGGCTGCGTCTAGACTGGTAAGATTTTCCGCAAAAGCAGCTGCTTTTACGGAAACACTTGCCAGCTGTCTACACTGGCCGCTTGAATTTGCGCAAGAACACTGATGATCTGATGTAAGATTGTCAGTGTTCTTGCACAAATACTATACTGCTCCCTCTCAGAGAAAAAGCCCTCTTGCACAAATGCTTTTGCGCAAGAGGGCCAGTGTAGACAGCTAAAAACTGTTTTGTGCAAAAAAGCCCCGATGGCAAAAATGGCAATCGGGGCTTTCTTGCGCAAAACTGCATCTAGATTGGCACGGACGCTTTTCCGTAAAAAGTGTTTTTGCGCAAAAGCGTCCGTGTCAATCTAGACGCTCTTTTCCGCAAATGCTTTTAATGGAAAAACTTTTCCGTTAAAAGCATTTGCGGAAAATCATGCCAGTCTAGACGTAGCCCATAAGAATTTCACCATGTAACAGCATACCTTCCCATGCAGTCAGAGGAGACTAATGCTCTGAAACATCTGATGGATTCACTGATAACAATTCCCAGAAAAAATAATGTTATTCAGCTGCAGTTAAAGATGAGAGAATGTACCAGTAGTTTAAGGATAAAATGCCTCACCAGAACTTTGGGTAATTGTTAGAAACAACAATTAGAGTCCCAGAAAATCCAAATTAATGGATACATTTATTAGATATTTGTACATTTGACAGCATGAAAATACTCTGCACCTCATCTTCCTTGCCAACCAGAGCAATGTGATAAAAGATTATTTTAAAAATTTCAGAAACAGTTTGACATTGATGGTATCTTCCTTAAGAGGAATTAGAAGTGGGGTAGGAAGCACTTTCCATTATAAGACCTGTTTTCAGTTACTTATACCTCACTGAACTTTAAGTGCTCAGGTTAAAATTTTCCATGCTGAATGTCTGCCTGTGATGGTTTATACACCTCACACTGGACAACAATGGGTAAAGGAGCACCTAAGAGCCTGGGTGGCCCTGCTCTGCCACATCTGCAAAGCCTGAGCTATCTGGAAGTGGAGATTAAAAGGGAAAGCAGAACTATTGAAGGCAGGCAGTGGACGGGAACAGACCCTCTGCTCTGAGCTCTGGGGAAATATAGTCCAGGAGCTCTCATTGCCTGCAACACAGACCTGACAAAGCCTGCACAGGAGGGACCAGGGATTGTGAAGGTCAGAAACTTTATTTGTGAGTCTACCCTGTGGGGAAAAGGGGAGACTTATGTTGGAAGAGATCCTGGGAGGCAGCTGCTTAGCACCCCAAGGTGCAGCACTTAGCTGCCTACCATTGGGCTCTGGATCACAATCTAGTGGACTCGGGCTCCCCTACCAACTCCAAGGTTGTGACAACAAAGGTGGAGAATCCAGCTAGGGAAGACCCTGACAATTCAAGGGCCTGAGCTCAGATGAAAGCCTCAAAGTCCTCTAGGTGCTGAAAACATGTTATGTGGTTGGACTTTTGGGATATCCCAAAATGGAGGGATTGGAACATGTGTCCCACACAGTAGGGTTGAGCTACAAAAGGAGGAACAGACCCCACAAGACAAAGCTGTAACTGAAAAGGGAGATGTCAGAAGGGGGCCAACAGGCAGCACTGGTGGAGAAGTTCCCATTTACAACTGGTGAAGAACACGGGCAGGTTTGTCCCACCCCTGATTAATGGAAGGAGAGAAAAACCAAAAAACTTTTCCTCAGCGTCAAAGGTAACAAAACATGAACAGGGAGACATTGTTAAAGTAGGTAACTGATAACCTGCAGCAACAGGTTACAGAAGCAACACCTGTTGTTGCTGAAGATGATCACTCAGCAGCAGCAATAAGCAATACAACGACCGCAGCAGCCCACTTAAAAGCTGGTAGCACAAGAACAGCAGCAGCCTCTTATTCAGCAAGTGCTGGTGCTCATATAGCCAGAAGAGGGTGGCAGATCCTCCCACAGGAGCACCTACTCCAATCCTAACCACCACAATGTTGGTAAAGCTTACAAAGACGGGGCCATAAGACGATCCTGAGTCACTTTTTTGGTTATGTTTGAACAAGTGGCAAGGTGCTGCCTGAACACTGGGTTAATTCTACTAGCCTCATGCTTACTGGGACCGTCCCAGCTTGTCTGAAGGGGACTAGACTTAGCAGATGTGCAAGACTATGCTCACATTCAAAGTCACCATTTGGGATTATCTGGACATCACAGCTGAAATGTATCCCAGTTGTTCCCATTGAGAGAAATATTCACCAGGGGACTAGCACCAGGTGGTCTCCCAGAAACTCATGTAACACTGCTGCTTTTCACTCCAACCTGAGACATGGCTGGGACGGGAGGAGATGAGCTGGGGTTGAAGACTAACCTGAGACTTTGGCCAAAGCTATACATTTAAGAGACGAAGAGCTGCAAACAGACCCACTTCTGAGACACTGAGGAGTAGTAGGATTAGGGGACCACCCCTCTCCCCCCGCTCCCCACACTCCAGTGATGAAACAATCACCACCACAACTGATGAAAGCTTCTTTCCCCATATAGGCAACAAGGTCTCTTCTGCGTGACTGCCCCTTTATGAACTGTGACTATGAACAAGCCTAGACAGCTGACGTCAGAGCCTGAAAATGGGGGCCCATCTAAAATATTGGTCCCAGTAAAGGCCACGGAGGGAGGGAAGAGGGGGGAAGAAACCTGGGCTAGCTGACGTGGGGTTCAGCTAGACTTTGATAACAGAGCAGCTGATGAGCAAGGAAGGCTCGCCTGGACAAACAGGCTTTCTCCAGGGTGTACATGGAGATTTATGAACCTACCCACCAGACAAGTCTGATATTTGGTAGGGAAACATATTGGGAACCTCTTTGTAGGACTAGTTTCTACCCTGGGCTTGCCAATAATCCTGAACAGGGACTGGAAGTTTCAAAAGAGTAAAAATCACCTGCTTGTGGGGGGCTTCCCTACTCCTGGAGGTCCAAGAACTCATGGGGCCAAAGGAAGTGGTGGGACTGGGTGAAACAGATGTCAGGAAAGGGACCTCTCACCAAGGGAGAGGCCTTATTCCGTCCCCAAAGACTAATGAGAACCCATACCCATTATTGCCTCCCATACCTAATCAGAGAAGCAGATTTCACAGGGGAACATAGAGATGACCAGTCACTAAAGCAAACTTACGATCAAATGACAACAGCCAATGGTGTAGTGGACACGCACCTGCTAAAGTAATGGCCCCTCTTTGAACTTGAGAGGGGGGACAGTTATATTGCCTGGTGAGGGACCATTTAACTAGATAAAAATTCAGCTCTGTGTACCAAAAAGGCATAAAAAGAGAAGCATTACTACTCACTCATTTAATCCCATGCAAGGGCACTTGGGGCTAGATAATGTCCTTGGAACAGGTAATGAATAGGTTCTACTGGCCAGGAGTGCACACAAAGATCAAAGACTACAGCACGACATACCCTGAATGTAGAGTAGGACCCAAGAGCAGTAATCCCTGTAAGCTGTGCACTTGTACAGCCACTCAGGAGAGATTCAAATTCCATCCACCTGATTAGCAGAGAGCCCACAGCTATGTTTTTTGTTTCTACTGGTGGGGTACATTTTCATGTGCCTCAGTGCACATAAACATTTATTCTACACATTGAGGGAAGATGTTGGGATCCTCTTTGACAACCTGCTTTCTACAGTGGAGGTACCTTTTGAAAGAATAGGGATGGACCTAGTGGGGCCACTGGAAAAAATCCTGATTGGGTACCAGCAGGTCCTGAAACGTATAACCCAATATCCCCAAGCCATCCCCATCCTCTCTGCAAATGAGGCAACCATCGTGGACAAACTTATGAAGCTGTTCATCTGACCAGGATACCAAAAGAAATCCTAAGCAATGAGGAAATTTACATTGTGCTTGATGAAAGAGCTATGTGCTCTGTTAAAGATTAAGACTCTAAGAACATCTGTTTTCCCTTCCTCCCCTAGATGGACAGATTATCTGAATGGTTCGATTGGATGCTGAAAGAGATGAGGAAATTTGTATTATCAGATCCTTGTTGGGGGACCAGTTGCTCCCACCACTACTATTTGCTACCAGAGGTTCTGCAGGCAGAACTCTCCTCATTCACATGTTTTATAGGAGTCAGGGTCAGGGGATCTGAGAGCCCCTCCAAGAAGCATGGGAGGAAGAAAGACCAAAGACAGCAAACGTGGTGCAATACATACTACAGTTAAAAGAAAGGCTTAAGAGGACCTTGCAAAATAAAACTTATTGAAAGCCCAATAAAAATCAAGACAAGTCCTAAAAACAAAGGAACAGG